TATTCATTTATCTCAATCACAATATGCATCAGATCTCCTACATAAAGTGGCTATGACTGATTGTAAGCCGTTAAGTACAACTCTTCCAACTAAGTTACTACAGGAAACATCCAATGATTCAGCTTATGACCGTCCAGAACATTATCATCAAATTACTGGAGCCCTTCAATATATGACGATTACTCGGCCAGATTTATTATATGCAGTCAATTATCTCTATCAGCATATGCATTCACCTCTCCAATCTCATTATTTGCTGCTCAAACGTGTTATATGCTATGTGAAAGGCACATTAGCTCATGGCTTACCAATTCATTCCTCCTCTCTAGAGCTCACTGTTTTTACTGATTCTGACTAGGCTACCAATCATGAAGATCGCCAATCTATCACAGGTTATTGTGCCTTTCTTGACAAAACACTCATTTCCTGGTTGGTAATGAATCAATCCTTTGTTGCCCGTTCATCTACGGAGGCTGAATATCGTGCAATTTCAACTGCTGCCTATGATCTTATCTGGCTTCATCGACTACTGTCTGAATTTTGCATCCCTCAAACAGTCCCTATCAAATTATTCTGTGACAATGTGTCTGCTCTCGCTTTGGCCAATAATCAAAATTTTCATGCCCAGACTAAGCATATTGAGATTAACTTGCACTTCATTCGGGATTGTATCAGATCTAAATATATTTCGGTTCATCATATTTCATCTCAAGATCAACCGGCGGATCTCTTTACCAAGGCTTTGAGTTAAGCCCGTCACTTTCAATTACTGGACAAGCTAACAATATGCTCACCTATTGTTACCTTGAGGGAGAATGATAAGGCAACCTGATACTCACTTGACCTTATATATAAGTCGACTCACTTATTGTTCATGGCTGCTCCACCTCCTTGTACGGATCGCGAATCACCGTTCAATTATTGCTGCATCATCTGAGCCATTGGACTCTAACTAACTACTTGATTTATAGTGTAGCATTGCTGCATGTATTGTTATGGAAAATAGAGATGCTACGGTTCTTTCCTTTGCTATCTTCTTCCACCTATGTTCTTGTGTTTAACTATTTGTGCAGGTGAAGTCGTTCAGTCTTCATGTATTACCCCCAAACTTTGTTAAAAATATTGTGTGATGGAAAGAAATTTAATTTTCTAGTGGAGCATTGGTCTTCTCCAAATGAGCTTTAGTTTTCAAGATTGATTATTAAGGAATCATCGTGTCCTAAGTTTCATGTTTGTTCCTTCTCTGGCTGAACTAATTACTAAGAAGATCATTGCAAATGATTAAATATTAGTCTTTTAAAAATGTATTAAATTTATAAGTAAAAATTTGTTAATTTTTAATGGAATTAATTATTAAAGGAGGGAGCTTGTCGGTGTTAAATTAGCTAATGAACAAGTTGCTTGTCATGAGTTTTTGGCTGAGGGGTCGGCCATGAATATGTTGATGTTGGCCGAGGAGATATAAAGGTTGGTCGAGTTAATATCGGGGAGCGTATGGCTGAACTCAGCCAACCCTTTG